GGGAGCATTGAAGACGTATTTTGACTATTATATGTATGTGTGTGTGTGTGTGTGTGTGTGTGTGTGTGTGTGTGTGTGTGTGTGTGTGTGTGTGTGTGCGTGCATGTGTGTGTGCGTGCGTGCGTGCGTGCGTGCGTGTGGGGTTGGAGGGGGGGGGGAGTGGGTATATAATATTGTACATTTATGTATTGTAATACAAATTCAATTCAATTTGAAAAATAATGAAATGATAAACCATCAACCAACAGTCACTAACCGTTGTCAATTAGTAAATAAATGTTTTGCAATTTTGACTACAGTATTCATAATATTGTGACCATTTCTATACCCCTCTTTATCTTAAAATTATCTTTTTTTGTCAAACAGGAGCAGGAGAAGAGCCTGCAAGAAAGCTTCCTGTCCCTGCCTAAGCGAGCCCCCCGCAAACAGCGGTCGCCCAGCCCAAACCTACAGCAAAGCATGGGCCTGGAGCACCTAGACAACCTCATCAAACTCATGGAGCAACTCACCAGCCTCAAAGATGAAAACTCCAGGTACGTAGAGCTGCTGGGAATATTGTGAGTCAACAAATAACCTTGACTTAAAGATGGTAAACGTTTAAGTGTGCATATGTGTGGATGGAAGAGGGATGGCAGCAAATAGGCCGGAACTCAAAGGATGAAAATGCAGGTGTGTTAAACAAGTAGTGACGATAAAGTTACAAGAAAACTAACACTCAAAAGGTGTCTGTGGAAAAAAAGGGGTGGGGGTGTCTGGTTGAGAGAATGATTACCAGTAGGTCTGCAAAATTAATGAAGATGGATCTTTTGATTTGTTTTGCTTTTTTTGTTTTTTCATTTCTGATTTGCCAGGCATGAGATTTATAAACCCCCACCCGGGGGGGGGGGGGGGGGGCCCCCGGGGGGGGGGGGGCAGTGCCACTGACTGAAGTGTCTTTAGGCCATTGCCAAAGGGGGGGGGGCATTTCTCTTTCTTATGCACAGTAGAATTGTAAATGGGCTGATTCAACAATGTCACACTCACAACTGTGCCTGAGCTACAACAGGGAAGTGCTGCTTTTTCTTTCCTAAGCTTTACTATGGTCATTCTTCCTCTACTTCTTTTAATATATTTGTCACACACTTGTGACCCGCTTTTTTCCGGGGTGCCTTGAAAGTGGAAGCAGACTTTGTGCTGTCGAAGCTAGAGAGGTGAGCAGAGTAAGTCTGATTCCCTGTAAGGACTTCTCTGTTGACATCCACCCTTTTGCGATCATATGACCTTATGCAGTTGTGGGCGCCGTGAAACCTCTACTAAAACAAAACAAAGCAAGCTTTATAAACGATTGAAACTGTATTTTTTCTCCCTCACCTCGATCATGACTTTGTGGATACACCCTGGTTCTAAACAGTGGGCATGACGTCACTGGCGTCAATAAACTAGACAAACGAAATATAGGCGTGACTTGCATGCCCCCCCCCTCCCAACAATAATCACTAACCGCAAACATTCTGATTCAGCCTCATACGAAGAGGAACATCTTAGCACCGCCAGGCTGGAGTATGGAAACGTAAAGTAGCTCATGGTACCGTTGAAGACCTCCTTGTTTTGGTGACGAGAATATAGAATTCAAAGGGACAGACCCAGAAACTTCTCGTAATTTGTACCTATGTACGCGCAGACGCATACACACATGTGCAAACACACACACACACACACACACACACACACACACACACACACACACACACACACACACACACACACACACGTGTGTGAGCACATAAGTACGCACATAACTGTGCGCACACAAATATACACAAACACTAAAAAGCGTGCACCTATGCATGTATGGACGCAATCTCTCATACACATACATACGCACAAGCTGATCCACCTCTTTCTAAGTATTTCTGTTTTCTGTCCCCACCCCCTTACCCCCCCCCCCCTCACCTCTCCAGGCTTCGCAAACGCTGCGACTACCTCGAAAGCACGAAAGTACTACTCCAAGCCAAGCAAGACTTGAGTTTCGAGAGTAGCAGTTCGTCGTCGGGGTTCATGACCCTACCTGCTCACAGAAGCAAACACCATCTACGTCATCACTCCCACCCCCACCACCAGCAGCAACACTATGATCGGAAGCGCGGCGGTGACCTGGCCCGGCTGACTGCAGCTTCCGGTGGGGGTGGGAGTAGCCCAAGCATGTCTAGACCACGCTTGTCCAGCGCAGACGAACTCGAGTATTTAGAAATGATCGACTCGTCATCGGATCAGCGTCCACGACGCGCAAAATCTGCCATGCACAAACGCAGCTTCTCCACCGGGTCACTAGAGGTGCCGTCAGAACTTTTAGAAGAAGTGGCCGGCATGGAGAAGAGAAAAAGAATCAAATCAAAAACAGGCAGAAGTATTTTCGGAGGGAAACCCTCGTCTTCAAAACAGAAATCTTCTAAAGGATCAAAGTGGGCTCGCGTGAAGAAAGTTTTGACGGGCCAGAAGTTGTACGAGGATTTAGGCACGACCATACGATCGCTCCGCGACCTAGGGAAATCCTCGCACATACAACGTTATTCTACCAGCGGAATCCCTTCGCGGCAACACGAGACTAGTCCGCCCTCGCCCCGCCCACCAAGTGAGCACCGCCCAACAGAGGGCAGTGTTAGTCCGGACCCGGACTCGGTGTTTGGGGCGGGGCCTCCCCTCAGTCCCGCCCCTGCGCCTGTTCGCTCTTACAGTCTAGGACCATCCAGCGGCGCCGTAAGTCCATTTATTCGTGTTGTATGGGTTTCATCTCAGTTGTATCTTGCTGACCTTACATAAGAGATGCTATTTACTTGTGTGTTGGACTTAACTCATCCTGGCCAGTTCGGTTTACCATACAGGAGTCTTTGTTAAGAAATCCATCGTTTTCCAATCTAGCAAAATTAGTGTGAACTTTGAATATAATAACAGAGGAGAAAAATGCAGAAAGTATATAGTATGCTGCACACAAAAAAAGCCAACCAAAATGAAGGGTGAGAAAACGTACCCCCCAAAAAAGGATGGCATTCATCCAAAGAATCAAAGAATAGAAATCGAATGAGGTTTTGTCTCAGAAACATATTATTATGTTCTGTTGTGAGTACAAGCATACACGTCTTTGCAGAGTGATACTGAATAAGAACAACTATGATGTGTCTGTGTAAAGGCTGGTATCATTGTTCACAACCTGATTTTTTCTCTAGTATTTATCTGTCTCTGAAAGAAAAAATTTCTTTTGTCTTTTCAAACTTTGGCCAAAGATTGCGATGTGAATTAATTCTTGTCAGATAGACATTTCAAGTTGCACGCCCTTGTTTCGCTGCTCTTGCTTTCCTTGCCTTTCTTGGGCTTTTGTAAAATGTGAGTTTGCGTAGTGTCTGTGTTTGTGTGATTGTATGTATGTACGTACATTTAAATGTCCACTCACATGATTGCGAGAGTGTTTTGTGTATGTGTTTTCGTCACGTTTCTATGAGAGAAATAAATGATATTCTATCAGACAGCATATTCAGTAAACTTTTAACCGTCTATTGATCTAAAATGTTTCAGAGCCGAAAGGACCCTGATCTAACAGCAGACATCTGGATGGGGCCGCCTGATTGGTGGGAAGAGTACGAAGCACAGAAAGAGAGCGGAACTTCCACAGCGAGTGACGTCAGTTCTGTTATTGAAGTGACCACCATGTACTTAGGCGGAAAGAAAGACGTCACAACAACCACCACTGGCTCAACTACGCCCACCCCTACCCCCAGCACTGGGGGTGGGGCCGTGGGCGGGGCAGTGGGTGGAGCAGTGGGCGGAGCAGTGGGTGGAGACACCAATGGTGCCTCTGCTCAACCTGAAAATTTCTTAAAGGTCGAACAACCCTCCCTCCCCCGACGCCAGTCAAGCCCGAGTCTCGGCTTTCAGGAGGAGGCTGAGGACGACGACCTTCTCGACGATTTGACCATCACCTCAGACAGCAGCTCACGTGCGCGCTTCCTGCACAAATCCTCCAGCTGCAAAAGCGCTGACCTTGAACTGCCCAAAGGAGAGCTGTCCCTCTCTATGTCCCCGAAATCTAGTGAGGGCCGCGAGTCGAAAAAATCCCACAAAACAGCGTGGGGCAGAGTCAAGGACATTATCCACACAAGAAAAGACAGCATTAAGAAAAAACCGAAGCGGGAGAAATCCGGAATAGAAAGTGAGGAAACCTCTGAGATCGACATGGAAGCCTTGATGGAGGAGCAGTGGAGATCAGACTCGTTCGCCGATGGCTTACTCAGCCGTTCCACGCCCAAGACATCCCCAGTGGTGATCAGACAGCAGAGCTCTAAGAGCATCAGCGAGTCACCGCCAGGAGCTGGCGTCAGTAAGACCTCCCCGTCTCGCGCCAGTTATCAGATGGGTTCAAGTCCCGGGAATGTGGACATGGCTGCCTTGTTAGGTGAGGTGTCTTCTTTGGGTTTTTTTTAGAAATTGTCTTCATTGTTCGACTTTTGTAATTGTTTACTTTAAAAAAACCTCAACGTGACTTTTTTATGTGGAAAAAAGGGAGTGTAATTATTAATGTTTCTGCGCCCCCCCCCCTTTCCATTTCCCAAAACACAAGTAGTTCTCAAACTGAAACAATGTATCAGTAAATATTTATTTAGCCCTGACAGTTCCAAACCAGGCTGCATGGGATTTATTTACTTAATAAAATGTTCCAAATTCGGCAATCAAATTCTCATCGTTTTATGTTCAGAGCATTTTATGCAATTCCTTGTGTTTAATTGTTACATATACTGGTCAGGACAGCAGAGGGATACGTTTTCTTTGGAAACCATTTTGTTTAAGCCAGCAAACTTTGCTCATGTAATACACAGTTCAATTGTGATGTTGATGACTAGTTTAGACCCGTAAAAGGATATTCCTGAAGTTAATATGTATCAGTTTCAATAAGTTCGGTTCTATCAGAGACTGACGCTAAATCAGCTGCCTTGTTTTAAAAAGAAAGCTACAGTGGGCAGTGTGGATTACTAAAGGAATGCTTCTCTGTCTCTGCTTTTCCTCGCGAAAACCTACATTCATACATTTATATAACATTCTCACTCTCTCTATTTCTCTCTTTTTCTTTCTCTCTCTCTCTCTCTCTCTCTCTCTCTCTCTCACACACACACACACACACACACACACACACACACACACACACACACACACACACATACACACACACACACACACACACACACACATTTTCTCTAATTGGCTATCTCTCGCTGTCGCTCGCTCTATGTCTATCATCTACCGTTTCCCCTCTCCCCCCCCCCTCTCTCTCTCTCTCTCTTTCTCTTTCTCTCTCTCTCTCTCTCTCTCTCTCTCTCTCTCTCTCTCTCTCTCTCTCTCTCCCTCTCTCTCGCTGTCTCTCTCTCTCTTTTTTCTCTCCGTTTCTCTTTATCAGAGAGCTGTCAGAACTGTTCTCTCCGTGTCTGGAGCATGTTTTCTTCTTTTCATTTTTCTAATATTTCTTTGACCTGTTTTTCTTCCTCCCTTTTCTGAAAAGACACATTTTTTTCAACTCAGCAAAAGATAAAAATTCTTGAAAAATGAACCCTAAACATACAGATAATTCGTTTCTGTAAATCTAGCCAAATTCACCACCTTAGGCAGCGGTAGGAATTTTGGTTTGAGAGAAGGAATCTTTTTGCACAATGATCATTACGTGTTCCTTAAGAAAATGCACTCATTTGAACTGAAGTGGGTGTGCCGGAAGACAAAATCACTCATTACGACTGCCAAACTCATCTCATAGTAGCGGCCAAGACCACCTTTTTAAAAAAAAGTGCAGACAAGGAGCATCAGGTACATTTCTTACTACAGTTATAAAGCTAAACGAAAATAGACACGGCTAGTCGGTTTTTAACTAGGGAGTTTGTGTGCGAAACATTGAAAGAAAGTAGAACTACAGACGTGATTGTATCCAACCGGGGAAAAAAATGCAAACAACATACAGATTTGTCATGTAATGCTCAACTGGCAGACGTTCTGAAAAAGAAAGTTGTTATATTACAAAAATTACTATGGAACTTTCTCAAGGAGATCATCTCTAATTTGTAAAACTGTGAAGATAGTTCCAACGCAAAGTGCCCATAATCTTGTCTGACGTGTATAAACAGTTAACTCTTGTGGAAATAAGTGTTTGCTGGTTTCTTGGCACTCCCCTTTATCTATTGTTTTCCTATCGACCTCACGGTCCAGTGAACGCGAACACACAGGCGTTGATGTATGAACATTTTGCCTGTTCAACAATATTTGTAGATCTTGGCAGCAGTGTATCTGCACTCCAAATGAGCCTTTGCTTTCTTTCACACCCGCTTCACACGGGCTGGTGCCTCTGTGTGTTCGCAGAAATGTGTTTAGCTATTTCTGAATTTTTTTTAAAAGGCGTTTTGTGTGTTGTTGCTGTTGTTTTTATTGGGGGGCGGGGGGTTTGGGGGTGTTTTTTTGGGGGGAGGTGAGGGTGTTTGGGTTTTTTTTGCTTGTTTTGCCCAAAATTGTGTGAAATGGAGGTATGGAAGTGAAAAATGTGTAGCAAATTGTACGAGGATTTAGGCACGACCGGACATGTGTGGCAAATAGGAAAACAAGATTGAACAAAACACTATTAACTCTCAATATTGTATTACCTGGTGACAGGATATTAGTACTGCCTTGCGAAAGAATCTTTAGAGGCTCCAGATCTATTCAGATACATTTTATTTAAGGGCTGGTGGGGCACCTAGAAATCGTGTTTGGGGGTCAAATTTTGTAAATTGGGGTTATTACATATTATAGTACCTGGACACTTCCTGAACAATATCCAGAAACGTGTGTAAGCCTTGCTACACCCTAAAGCTGTGTTTTTTTGTCAGGTTTTTCGGCGAAAGCACATGCTGTCTAGCCTTTCCTTACCTGTATCGGCTGTTTTCTCACAATTCTATTTATTCACATATTATCCCATTTTTCTGCTCTGTTTCTTATTCAATTTTAATGTAACTTTCACAGGATACCAACAACACCTAGTTCTAAATTTTGGCCTGTTGAATTTTTTTATTAATGTAGTAGTTTTTGATTTATGGGGCTTAGAAAGCATGAATTTTCCATTACATCTCAATTGTAAATGTCATAAAATAAAAACTAAAGCATATATCAAAAATTCAACAAGCCAAATTTAATAGCTATATATGTACTGTTGGCATGCCAAATTAGAAGTGAATCAGTTAGTAAATAAGGAAATAAAATGGGATTGAAAAAGGTATACAAAATCCAATACAGCCACCGTTTCCATAGCAACCGATTCATAATATACTTTTGAACTATTGATTTGAAATCCCCAATAAAACACGATGTCCCACAGCAAATGTCGACACTCTAGGCCTTGTAATAGCCAAAATAGACTTCAGGTGCCCCACCAGTCCTTAAACATGTAAGCCTTCTGATATAGGGAACATAAGGGAACATACAATATTCTTGGAACTTTAAAAAATTTTAAATTGAAACAGGCCAATACAAGTGGCGGTCTGGAGGTATTTTTGACTCTAGTGTACTCCTTTTCTTTACTTTTTTTCTCAGGTTACATTTGTCTTTACCAAAATCCTAGTGAAATGTGTCCTTGACTGTGTTCATGAACAGTGCATCACGACATGACCTAAGAGACACTCGTTATTAAGACTGGATATTGTTAAGAAAATTGTTTTGAATGTTTCAACTGTAAAACAAGGTAATGTTATGTCCATCAAAAAAGCAACAAAAAGCAACAACCAGGGTACTATATAGCCTTCACTTACAGCGAACCTGTTGAATGCCTCTGTGCATTAAGCATGCGATCGACCAACTAACTCATTTACAAACTGTATTATTTTTTATAAAAGCAAATCAAGCTAAGAACACGCTAAGTCCATCACAAAAAAGTGAAAAATAGGCTTTGTTGTGGTAAGGTCGATCTGACTTTTTATTATCTTATTTTTCCCTTGATCCATTCAGTTTCTTTCCGGGAGATGTAATGTTGCAAATAGTATTCCCTTCGTGTTATAATAATATTAATATCTTTATTTTGTCAGTATTTTATTGAGAATTGTTGTTGTCTAATGCGGGTGGTTGGAGGGCGCCGCAAGAAGGTCCTACTTATTTATTTCCCTCTATTATTTCTGTCTATTTGTCTGTATTACTTTTTCCCACCACTAAATGGTCATTACTGTGTCAATATGCTTCCCCTTTCTCAAGCAAGCAAGTTGTTGTCTAAAAATACGGTTCTTGTTCGTTTCAGCTGGCAGCATGAGCGACGAGTTCAACCGAAAGATGCAGGAATGGGAGGAAAAGCGGACGAAAAGGTCACGCTCCGTTCGGGGTGAGTTGAGTGCGCTTCGGTACCGGAGTAGTTCGTTGCTTCATGTTAAAAGTTTTCTTGTTTGTAAACGTTGGAATAACATTGTAAATTTGAGAAGAAGGAGTTTTGTCTTTTGTGAGACAAGGCCCTAGTTTTTCTATCCTGACAAAATGCAATCATTTTTTAGGGGGATATGGAGGGTAACATATTAAAGAAAAAAAACAGAGAGAGGAGAGAGAGAGACAGAGAGAGAGAGAGAGAGAGAGAGAGAGAGAGAGAGAGAGAGAGAGAGAGAACATGTTAATGTTCAGAGAACTAACTTTTCCGTTTTTCTCAAGCAAGAGCATCTGGTTAGATGTTACATCTTATGAACTATGTAATATATAGTTATATAACTATATCGTTTATTCGGAGGAAAAATGCAGCTGTTTGCTTCGAATCCACCCCAGTAGCCTACAGCAGCCCGGTGGAAAGCCTTCTCTCTATGGAACCACATAGCAAAACAACACACGTTCTCTTCAAGTAAAGATAACGCGATAACGTTATTCATTGTTGGGGATAAACTTGGTTATCTCCCCTGTTCAGTGTGAGACGACAGGTTCTTTTCCGGGGAGACTGGCATTGTTCATAATGAACAGCAGGCAGTTGGAATTACTCAAAATCCTTTTTCCTTTCATACGAGTGTAGACACAATAGCCGGCAAGGGATAAGGTGTAGGCATTTTTCTTTGTTATTATTATTATTTTCTTATCATTGATTTTTTAAGGAGAATGTTAGACGGGGAGTAAAATATGTTGTAATAACAATGATAATAGATTACATTCATACAGCGCATTTGCAAAAGGAAAGTTCTCGTTTGGCTTATATGTAAGTTCGAAAGTGTGTACGAGTGTAGAGGAAAACATTCAGCCGGTCATAATTGCATAATTATGATTGTTAATTGTTTACATCGACACAATTTGGATAGACAGCGGACTACTTTAACCTTATCTGTCAGCGCCAAGCTGGGCTGAGTGGCGTTCTAGCTACCGGCCTTCCAGTTGACAGACAGATGTATTAATTGAAAACCGAAATACAGCTTTCTCAAGAGGGAACTTAACTTTTTATTTTTACTTCGTTTAGGAGAGAAAGAAAACAAGAGAGAGAGAGAGAGAGAGAGAGAGAGAGAGAGAGAGAGAGAGAGAGAGAGAGAGAGAGAGAGAGAGAAATTTTATGTGA